ATGATCTCCATCTCTTATCTGAATGCTTTTGCGGGCTGTGATCAGCGAACCAGTATGTGTATTTGAACTCGGGTGTGTGAGTTAAACTATTTGCTTCCGCATGTTTTACAAGACTTGTTTTGTAATAATGATGACTCTGTGATGATGTAATCTATTTGCGAACGTCTGCGAAATGTTGTAATGTACGATATGTTATGTTGAATTACTGTGATCTTGGTTGTATGCAAGTTGGTTTGAAATCCTTCGAGATTTCAGTTGACTACCGGGTTTATATGGGCTCAAATTCGAGAATTTGATCGTTTCGGCGATTGTTTTTGTACTTGTGCTCTTATAAATTGGTTGGTTCTGTGACAGTATGCCCTACTCGGAAGAGGTGGAGCCACAGCTCCCAATGGGGGGCAATCCCCAGATACCCCTCGCAGATGGCGACGAAAATAGCCGCCTGCACGATGGAGTTGGGGTTGAAGTTGTGTAGCTCTACCCCGTAGTAATGCGGGAGCGCCCGCATGAATCGGTCTGCCGGCACACCGAGACCATGCTCTTTGAAAGAGACGAAGCTCACGACGTACCCTTCGCGTGGCCGCGGCTCCCGCTCGCCCAACGGAGCAATCCACACCGACCTGTCGGGGTCGGTGATCGGACGAAGAAGGCCGTCGTCAACGAGTGACTACAGCACCTCCACGGACACGTCGGACGGCTCCCAATGATCCGCCAGGAGGATGACAGGAGGACCGCTGGCCATTGCGTGATGGAGAATGAGGGCTACGGCGGTAAGTCTCTCTCGCTCTCTCTCTCTCTCTCTCTCTCTCTCCCTCTTCTCCCTTCTTCTCCCCGGCGCTCTCTGTTCTCGGCAACGGATCGAAGGCGGAAAAGGCGAGTACGGGCAAGGTAAGGAGTGGATGGTCGAGACTCGTTTCGTATTTATGCAGGGAAAGGACGAAACGGTCAGGCGACGAAATCAGGGAAGTTTCCCTTGAGTCCGGGCACAGTAAATCCAGATCCGATTTCACCGCCCACGCGCCCACCTTTTCCTCATTAATCGCACGGGCGGTTATGTCCTGTCCGCTGACACCGCGTCGCTTCCAACCGCAGCAACGGCAGGCCCCGAGAGACCGCCTCAAAAGGCGCACCTACCATTGTCAGCCGATGGGAGGGGAATATTCCCCCAGCCAATTCCTTCCAGACTAAGGAACTGGGCGCCGAGCCCATTACGGTCCAGGGGTTCGAAGGCTGGACCCCAGAGGGTTTCGACAACCGCCCCAGGACAACAGAGTTAGGGACAACTATGGGCAAGCCCGTACATGGCCGAGGCCTGAGCAAGCGATCGCTCGGGATGTCCTAAGTCATGTCCGAGACCAGCAGGGAGTTCTCCGAATGGGATCCCACCGTAGGGAGGCGCCGAGCCTCCGGGGCCAATCGAACGACCCTGGGACCCAATAGAGAAGCCCTCTGGTACTTTTGGAGTGCGTCTCCGGACCACTAGCCGACCCCTATCGAATAGGGCACGGGCCTCCACTCGGACTTACCCGATAGCAGCTCACCGGAAGTGTCACCGCTCGCGCCCACCGAGGGTAGCCTGGCATATTCCACCCCTCCTTCCGAGTGAAAAGGATGCGCGAGGGTCGCATAAAAAGCCAGGGGAACTCCTGACCGCCCTCTCGCTCCATGCGGAGGCTCGGGGGCTCTCCCTGTAAACTTTGCCGAGACCCAGCGACCTAGGCTCGCACTCGAGGGGGCTCGGCAAACAACCCCCTCCTTCCGAGCGAAAAGGATGCGCGAGGGTCGCACAAAAAGCTAGGGGAACTCCTGACAGCCCTCTTGCTCAGGGCAGAGGCTAGGGAGCTCTTCCTGCAGATATGTTGAGACCCCGCAACCCAGGCTCGCACCCGAGGGGGTCTCAGCAAACAAAGCCTCACACGCGAGGGGCGTATAAAAAGCCAGGAGAGCACCTGACGGCCCTCTCGCTCCGTGTAGAGGCCAGGGGGCTCTTCCTGCAAGTTTGCCGAGACCCAGCGACCCAGGTTCGTACACGAGTGGGCTCGGCAAACAACCCCTCCGTCCGAACGAAATGGATGTGCGAGGGTCGAACAAAAAAGTCAGGGGGACCCCTGACCGCCCTCTCACTCCGTGTGGAGGCTCGGGGGCTCCTCTTGCACCCAAGAGAAGGACAAGCGACCCAAGCCCGCACCTGAAGACTCAAAAAAACACGATAAAAGGGCATCGAGCCCGTTACGGTCTAGGGGTTCGAAGGCTGGGCCCCTAAGGGTTTCGACAGCCGCCCCAGGGCAACAGAGTCAGGGACGACTATGGGCGAGCCTGCGCTTGGCCGAGACCCGAGCAGACGACTGCTCGGGATGCTCTAAGTCGTGTCCGAGACCAGCATGGAGGTCTTCGAATGGGATCCCACCGTAGGGAGGCACCGAGCCACCAGGGCTTAGCGAACGGCCCCGGCACCCACTAGAGAAACCCTCTGGTACTCTTGGAGTGCGTCTCTAGACCATTAGCTGACCCCTAATGAACGGGGTTCGGGCCTCCACTCGGACTTACCCGATAACAGATCGCCGGAGGTGTCACTGCTCGCACCCACCGAGGGTAGCATGGCACCCTCCACCCCTCCTTCCAAACAAAACGGATGCGTGAGGGCAATGCAAAAAAGACAGGGAAACTCCTGGTCGTCCTCTTGCTCCGAGCAGAGGCTCGGGGGTTCTTCCTATAACTAAACCGAGGCTCAGCGACCCGAACTCGCATTCATAGGCTCGGCTAGCGCAATAAAAATCTGTCGCACGACGTAAGACAAGCCCCTGGAGGAGTCAAATCACTCCTCCAGGGCCTCGGGGGCTACACCCGGTGGGTGCGCTCACGCGCACCCACTGAGACCTCGAGTACAAAACACAATCCCAAATAGGAGTTGTTGCGAGCCAAGTCTCGGCAAAACCTCAGGAGAGTGCCCTCACTCCTCCCGAGGCTCGGGGGCTACTGTCGGATACCGCAAGAAGGGGTACCCTAAGCAAGAACCAAAAATATTGCTTAAACCTTGCAAAAATCAAAGCTGAAAGACTACCTCAAGGTCTCAGCAGATTCTCCTATTCGCCCGAGGCCTTGCGCCGAAGCCTCATGCGAAAGGCCAAAAGCTCCCCGCCCCGCCAAGGCCCTCTCACCGAGGCCCCGCCCCGAAAGGCCTCGGACGGGATGCCAATTCTCCGATTCGCTCGAGGCTGGGCTCGGCAAACAACCTCGTTACCTCCATCCCGACCGAAATCCTCTAACAAAACGTCACGTCCGGATTAATGCGCCCAACTACTCCTGCAAACGTCAGCCACACGCGGGTACAGTGCGGCCAGAGCGACCGACGGGACAGGGGACCGGGCGCAGCAGGGGTTACCTACCACTGTGCTCATCACTGTGCTCCTTACTGACACCCATACTGCCTTGTGCTACCTAACCCCTGCACCAAGGACAAAGTGGCGTGGAAGGTTAAGTCCAGGTTCCTGTAGTCTCAGCAACAACAGAAGAGCCCAGCTGCTCGTTCTCCGCCTCGTCCGAGACCCCCCGGTAGGGCCTCGGACGTACTGTTCTTTCTCTGCCTCGGCCAAGGTCGGGGTCGTCCCACATCCTCGTCGCCTCCGCCTCAACCATCCCCCTGGCAGGTTGTCCCATCCATTTAATGCGCCTAAATGCACCCGCTATGTCAGCCACGATCGGCAGGATACAGCAACAGGAGCGATGGGACAACGGTCAAATCTCCTTTTTTACCATGCCCTGCACTTTCCCACCTAAACCAGGTCACTATAGCCTTGGAATCAGTGCATAGGCCCAACTGCTCCCTCCAGGGCCTCGGCAAATCAGGCCTCAGCGTGGTCAGCTACAAACACCCGCCAGGGCCTCGGCAAATCAGGCCTCGGCGTGGTTAGCTACAACCCGCTAGGCCTCGGCACTCCACCAGGTCAAGAGTCCACCAAAGCACGGCATGTCTCCGACCGTCGAAGTCATACTGACTAGACATCGACAAGGACCCCCACGACCTCAACCACTTCAAACCTGACCAGCACGGCGCGCCAGACAAGTACCGATCTCCATTCCCAACGCCATGCTGCTACAGGACAAAACTGCATAGGCCCCACGTGTAGCTTACTCATGTACTCCTGGCTCCTTCCTTGCGGTTATAAAAGGAAGCGGTCAGGGATAGCTCGAGAGGGGGAGAAGGACATACGATAGAACCGCGCTCCCATACTCGCCCTAGACACATCCTGTAACACCCACGCTCCCGGGCTGCTTGAGAGCAGCGTCTCAAGCACCTCGCACCGTCCCACGCCGAGACCTGGGACTAGCTCCCTCTCTCACCTAGCTTGTAACCCCCTACTACAAGCACTTCGGTGCAAGGAATACAAGACCAATCTCTCAGACTGGACGTAGGGCACCAATTGTCTGAACCAGTATAAATCTTGTGTCTCTTTGCATCACCATCCGAGATTAGGGGCACGCAGTTCACTTTTACTAGTTGGTTGAGGACCCCCCGGTCCGAAACACCGACATGATTACCACTAGACATCCTAGGATGACGTTCAGAAACAACAGGAGACACTTCATGTCCATCATCAGGAATTCCAAAGTCTTCATCTGTTTCAACAGTCTCAGATAGCAACCTAATAACTTCCAAGACTAAAAGCTGAGACATCTTACCAACAGAGCAAACATGCTTCCATAGCTTGATAAAAGTCAATCTCATATCATCAGACAAAGCATTCATTGCATTAACATCAAAATTGACAAAAACACCACAATTCAAACAATGCTTCTTAATAAGCTTGCAAATAGAATCCTTCAATTCAGCAGGAAGCTTGCAACGAGCATAAGAATCAAGCTGGCTAAGAAATTCAGCATCAATATTCTGCTCAAGAATTTGAGGAAGCAAGCGCATATCCTAAGCAAAAAATAAAAGAGTAAAAAAATGAATAGAAACAAAAAAATATAAAAAATACTTGAGAAAACCAAAACAAACCTTAGCATAACAGGTCCTTGAATAATCCAATAATAGGATGGTACCCAAAACAACCTTCTTGTTTCTTGTCAAGAGTTGCATATTGCTTGATCATATCATTCTTCCAAACAGATATTCGAGGAATAGTGGAAGGGACTTGATGAGAATCAAAATCAACATGATCAAGATAAAGAACCTAAAAACAATATAAATAAAAATATAAAATATACAAGAACATAAAAAAAGATGATAAAACAAAAAACAGAAACACTTACAGCAAGGAAGTATAGACAGCCACTAAGAGTAACCTGCTGAGTAGATTTGCAACTCTTCAACTGATTGAATAACTTGATGTACTCAAGCAACAAAGATAGGATATAACCACACCAATCGTATGATCGAATCTTATCAAGGTCTTCAAAAATACCAAAGAATTTTTTACAAGGAACAACAGAAGAGTTGGGGCAAAGGAAAGTACTCATAGCAACCACAATGAAGCAAACAAACATATCATCATCAGACATTTCTTTCTTATAAACAAGAGCTTCAGAAAAAATAACTGATTGGAGGAACATTATCCTTGCCAAAGCTTGAAAGCAAACAAGACTTCCCAGAGGTATAATCAGCAGGAAACGGTGAACCACCAAATGAAAGATCAAGAACCAAATGAATAGCTTCCTTAGAGAGATAACCTTGCCATCAACAACTATATCACCAGACTTATAATTGACAAGGCGAGCAACCCAGTGAACAAAAATTCTCAGCACAGAACAACGGTCAAACAAGAGAAGAGAACCAAATCCATACTTTCGAATCACATCTTTACGTTCTTCAGAAAGAGAATTTATCACATTAGAGAACGTAGACACAAAAAACCTTAAGACACCAACTTTAGGTCTGCCATCAGACTTCTTCTTAACCTAAAGTATTTAAAAAAATAAAAAGATAATAGAAAAAAGTAAAATACATCCACAAAAACAAAACCAATACATACGTCACGACTCAAATGTATTAACAACCTTTTCTTCAACATCTTCACCTTTGAACACTGTACAGAAATATTACAAAAAAAATTAACAACAAAAGAAATAAAAATAAATAAAAACATAAAAAAGAACAGAAAACATACTTCCTTAACATATTGTTTGTACAAAGCTTCATTGAAAGATTGATCACCACCAGAGATGGAATCCTAATAAAAAAAAGATTATCAAAAAACAAGAAACAATGCAACTAAATAAGATTACAAATTAAAAGTAATACTTACATCAGAGTAAAAAATATCATGAGAATCAGAATCATCATTTCCATCAGTAGGAAGAGAATTGGGAGACAACATCAATTCATTATCATCAAGACCTTCAGAACCATCACTACTTGCAATATCCAAGAAAATAGACTTCCTTTTCCTAGCCATCTAAATGATAAGGATGAAAAAAATGGAATGCTCAACTCAAGATCATTATAAATTGAATACCAATAATGATAATGCAGCAGATATAAGATGAAGAACAACACAATACAAAGAGCCCTAATGAATCAAACAAAAAGGGAAACACACAAAAAAAGATGCAGTTCTGATGCAGCTAGGATGATGAAGTTCTGGAGTCAAGGTTCAACTATTTAGCAACACATATTTATACTGAAGATGCAGTGCAGATTATAAAAAGACAAATATAGAGTTGGAGTCATGTTATAAGAATGCACATAACGTTAAAAAGTGATATATCCACTGCCCCCACCAATTGGGTAGATAATCTAAGTACCAAAATACATAATAAAAACAAATAAAAGTAAAAAGTAGATCAATAAAAGTAAATCAACAAAAGAAAAGAGGAAGCATGGGATAAGATTACAAAATGCAGTTTTCTGAAAACAAAGGCAACAAGTAAACTGGCAACCCACAACAACTCACAAAGACGTGGCTACGAAACTAAGTTCAGATAACATAAACAGGAGAAAACACGACATTCATAAACCTATACAGGTAGCAGTTCGCTCAAACAAGTTTCTAAAATTATATATCGCTTTTTTCATGAAAACATAAACATTCAGTCATAATAGATATTCCTCGAAGTGCTATTCATGTAGAAATTATCAAATGACCAAAAAAACTCTAGGAACAAAAATATTTTATAAGATAAGATGTAAGAAATTACAAATTGAATAAGCTATATTATTGAATTGCAAACTGAAATGCATGATATCAACGCTAACAAAGTGAATTAAGCAATTTGGGCAAACAAACTCACAGCTGACAAAGAATACATGGCAACCCAAATTAGATATATAGGGAATACAAGTGGAATTCAAACAACAAATAACCTGAAGGGACAGAAGCAAAAGTACACAGCCGATTTAAACAAAATTACAACTACACGCAATCATCAAAGTCAAAAAAAAATACTACTAGTTAATCCACTAAATATAACAAATACACCTGAAAAATTGCACACAGAACATTACTACATCATACTAAAAACAAAACAGACAGGATATGAAACAAATAACAAATCATAATCCACTAAATATATGTACAAGGACTGTTACCTTAAAATTACTACTAGTTACATAAAAAATGCCTATGATCTACACCGCATGAACAACTGTAAGTGAAGTTGAAGTCTACTGTAACTATAAAAATAATCCAAAATAAATAAAAAATAAATATATAATTATATCAGCAAACAAACATTAACACCGTCATGAACCCACCTCCATCTAAAGCTCTATGCTACACAGCAAACATTCCACATCCACCTCCTCCACCACAACCAGCTCCAACTCAAACATACAAAAAAATATCGAAACTCAGACAAACCATCACTAGAGCAACCAATAGAAGTGGCAGACAAACCAATGTCTGATAAAAATGTTAATAACAAAATGAATAAAAACAAATTGAAATTCCTAACTTAAATTACTATCTCATATTGCAAATTGCAAGCACCGATAAAGCACACAACTAAAAATACAGTTGGAAGCTATCTGAAAGCACATTAATAGAAGCAAAATAAAAATTCTAAACTGAAATTACTCTGATATTGCAAACTGTAAGCATACAGAAAGAACAAAGCTAAGAACTACAATTAAACAAATCCATCAACATAAAATCAGAATCAACTAATAAAACACAACATCTACATAACTAATTAAAATCAAGGACACACATAGCACAACATATCCATCACCAGAACAATAACAATTCCAAGAAAAAAAAACTAATATTAGACCTACAAAACAACAACAGCAAGGAAACCAAACCACATCTAAAATCTAGAACTAGAAATAAATTTTGATGCACAACTCAACGCAAGTACTTATCCACAATGGGGGAACACTACGACTCCAAATTAGCAACGGAATCCACCTCCGGCTCCAGATCCGGCTACAACTCAGCCTGCAGCTCCGGAACCGCGTCCACCTCCGCAAACGGATCGACCTCGATAGACGACTACAACTCGGCGAGGACCTAGGGTTTAACCTAAACCTCGACCTGAGTCTTGAACTCGAACAAAACAAATAAAAACGGAGCAGAAAACCTCAGCCAAACCTCCACCTCGGACTAATCCAAACAGAAATAGAACCTAAATCAAGTCGACAAAAAGAAGATCTAGAACATCAGATGACAAAAACGGAGCAAACCAAACCTGCGACGACTAATCGACAAAGAAGAGCTCCGTCGGCCGCGGGCTCCACCTCCGCCCCAACCTCCAGCTACGGAACCGCATCCACCTCCGCAAACGGCTCGACCTCGACCGACGATTCCGGCTCGGCAAGGACCTAGGGTTCAGCATCAACGAGAAGATCCGTCTCAGCCAAAGCTCCACATCCGACAAATCCATCGAATAGGAGAAGAAACAGAGAGAAATAGAACCTAAATCTAGTAGAGAACTGCAAGATCAACAACATCTGATGACAAAAACTGACCAAAACTTAACTGTGACGACAAAATCGACGAGGAAGAGCTCCGTCCACCGCGGGCTCCGCCACCGCCACAGCCAGAGAAGCGGGGGAGACGAGACGAAATGGTGAAAGGAAATGAACAGTTCAAACAAAATAAAGGTGCACGTTTCCCAAAAAATTGTTGACAAATGGGACCCAAACGTCAGCCGAACTAACAAAACACACCACGCGGGAGGCGGGCGGCGGCCACAGGAGCGCAAAAGGACAAAGCGAATGGACGAACTGGATCAGTCAAAGGCCAAATCCAACGACCACAAAAACAGTGTGACGAGAGCCCAAAATTCACACGGGCAACACATAGCTTTTGTGTTTTAAAATCATATCGTATATGCTCACACTGAGCCATACGAATATACGAACGTACACAGTCCCTGTAAGCATATACTCTATCCCTATAAGCACCTTGGAAGACTGAGGTGGTACATTTTTTGTTGACAAAATCACCTTGCTGTCAATGGTACATCATCTACATAGAAAGAACAATATCGCTATATCTATATCTAAACATATATTATATTATATTATATTATATATCAAATCAAACTATAAAAGAGCGAGTTATTTGAGAGGGGCTCTTCCTATAAAATAACCGTTCGATCTATACGCCATACTATATGAGCCCTCTGTTATGCGTGATCTTACTCTTCCTCTATAACAACCGTTCGATCTACACATCGTGCTATATAAGCTCTCCGTCATTGTGATCTTACGTGTAAGATATAAGACTCCTATTCAATCACAAATACGTCTCACGGTACGTCACGTTTATTTCTAATATGTTGCCAAGGCCGGCAAGGACGGGCTGCGCAAGGTCGGCTCGTGTGTGGGAGCCAGAAGGCCCGCAAGCATTGGCCAGCACCGGCAGCATGCGGAGGGCGGAGGCCGGCTCGCTCGCAGCGCAAATGAGCCTGCAGCTCGCGCATGGTCCTGCGGAGCACGGAGAACCTATAGGGCGGCCCTGGTGGTGCACAGAGGATGCCAGGGTGGAGGCCGGCTTGCACGCGGTTGCATCGCGAAGGATGACAAGAGCGGAACGGGGTGAGTGTGCGACACCTCGTGCGCGGCCGCGACGAGAATGGCGAGGGCTGGCTCGCGTGCAACGGCAAGGTGTGTCGTCGATGGCTCGATCCGTCACAGCCTAGATAGAGAAGCTAACACAAATTCCTTCTCTCTCCATGAACGTAGTATGCTTCGAACAGCGACCTCTATGAGACTACGGCAAGGCAACGCTCCTGTGGTCTCACGCACGTCGGCCAGGGACATTGGTGGCTCGCGGGCAGGGATGGATGACGCTGCGACGTGGGCGGTGGGCCGCGATGATGAAGCAGGCGACGACCATGGGCGCACGACGACCTCTAGGGCAGGACCCACAGTAGTAGGAAACTACACGGCGCCCCATCCCCGAAACCGTCGACTTCTTCAGCGTTGGTTCGCGAGACGACGCCGTTTCTCAGGGGAGAAATGGTTTCTCGTCGAGTTACTCTCTTTCTTCATTTATTTGGACGCCACGTCAGACTTTTCGCTTGCGTGGAGGATCATTAATGCCATGGATACAGACGCGTTGGGACTGGCCTTGGGCAGCTCAATAGAGCAATGGTTCTTCTATGCCTTGCGTTACCATATTGTAAATGAACAGCAGCGGTAACGTGGAGGTGGAAATAAAACCAAGGCACATACAACAACATAATTCACATGTGAGGGACAGACAATACCCTAAATCCAAATAATGTATGACAAAAAAGGTGAAAAACAAAATCAAAACATGCACGTGTCTATAAAAATATCAAGATAGATGAGTTAAAAAAACCAAATGTTTAATAATTGAATTCCTATATCATATATATTTATATATGATAATAGACATGCATTTTAGAAAATTTAAAAAATATTTCATTGATGAATAGCAATTATTTTTTTGAGTACACAATTGACACGTCGTATAAATTTCATGATGTAAGCAATGGCCCGGAATGACATAACAAAATATGCACTCATAATTGAAGCCACATCACGATTTCCATTTATTCATTGCTGTGAAAAGAGCGAGTTATTTGAGGAAAAACAACATAAAGTTACATTATTTATGGGCCAAAAAGAAAGAAAAAACGTAAAGTTATGTTTAGATAGACTGCTAAATAAATTAATACTACATTATTTAAGTCATAATTATTTTGTATCTTCATATGCTTGTTTATTTATATCACGTTATTTTATATCTTGTAGTGCAGCGATAGATGCAATTGAGGCATCCTAACGAACAAACAATTTGAACCTTGTTCTACACGACCCGATCAAATCGATCAAGCACTTGCTACCTACCTTTATTGTATATCGATAAATCAATTAACATTTTCATTGATTTTGAAATAGTTTTAGAAACACGTGTGTATCGCACGTGTATATTTGCTAGTATTAATAAAGGGACAAAATTTCAGCCTATTTTTTGTCCGT